CAACATCAAACGTGGCCATGACCAAATGCAATGCGAGTGGGTGTCAACACTATAAAACGTGGGGGAGTGAGAAGGCATACGTGGGACACGTGGCACCGTTAATCGCGGAACAGGAGGCGTGCCATCAGGTGTTTATAAATACCCCAATGTGAGAAAATGTGTTTTTTTCTTGAAACCCGAACTGTTTGCATTATCAATATACATTCTTCCTATTTCCCTGAAACAATGACTGATTCTCACACCGGAGGTAAGATGGGGGAGAAAGTCCAAACCTCATTTTGTAGGTAACATTCGTTGATCGGAGCAGTCGAAACACCCCACACATCATCACTGCCGTGGAGGTAAATTTTGTGATTATTTCAATATATTAAGGGTGTGTTTGACACCCATTTTGATGAAAAATAAATTCTGGAATAGTGATTGATGGGAAGAATGTGTGGTTGAAAAGTAATAAGAATTTTTGGGTTTATGTGTAATATTATTTTATTTGGAGAATGTGTGGTTAGAAATGAGTACTGTAGAAAAATGAGAATGAGAATGAGATAAAAAATGGGTGTCAAACGGGGGCTTAATTTTTTTCAANACAAGTACTTAAGGGTGTGTTTGACACCCATTTTGGTGAAAAATAAATTCTGGAATAGTGATTGATGGGAAGAATGTGTGGTTGAAAAGTAAGAAGAATTTTTGGGTTTATGTGTAATATTATTTTATTGATAGGATGTGTGGTTGAAATGAAGAAAGAGAAAAAAAATGAGAAAGAGAATGAGAAGAGAATGGATGTCAAACGGGGGCTAAATTAACTATTTCAATTCAATTTTGTAGTTTGTGGGCTTTTCCTCATTTGTAGAGTTCATCATTGCATATCGATATACAACTTCTAATAAAAATTCGAAGATCAACATTTTTATGTTCTAAAGGTCGGAGACTAACTTACAACCCAAGCAATAGAGTGGATACTGCTATCATAATTTTCTCCAAAAACTTTTAAACTAAGCCTCTGTTTGAACCATGTTAAAATTTTCATTTTCATTCTTCTACTCATTTTCAATAACACATTCTTTAATAAAATAATATTTTCTATCACATCAATAATTTTTCCTTCCTTTTCAACCACACATTCTCCATCAATCTACTTATTTCAAAATACATTTTTCCAAAATAATGTGGCTCAAACACACCCTAACAAACAAGGGAAAAATTGTATCTTGGTCTCTAACCTTTTTAAAATGTGCAAATAGGTAATAAATCTTCCATGTTTGGCAGCGCAATTTCTAATTTTTTGATAAATAAATAGTTGAAGGACCTTTGGATAATTCCCATCCAAAGGTTTGTCAATATTCAACTCAAGGCTAGACCTTGAGTTTTTCAAACCTCAGTCGAACTTTAAGGGTTGGACCCTCGAGTTAGATCTACTTTTTCATAAGAGGAACAAAATACAAGCATATGATGAATTTATTTGACTTACAACAACATAAAAACAACTCATTTTGTAAGAATCTTATATGAGATTTTTTTT